GTAACCAGTCTTGAGGATGAAACGTGGCACTTGTTGAAAATGGGGAGTTTCGTAGTCACTGCCGACAACATAAGAAAAAAGCTGGATGTGGGATAGCATGTTCCCGCTTCTTGCTCTGGGATTTGTTTCCTCCACGAACTTAACGGCTGACGCCACAGTCTCGTTGGCGGAGAATAAAAAATAAGATGCTTGGAACTCGGCTATCAATACATGTTTCTAAACTGACAGTGACTATCAACAAAGCGTTCCTCGTCCATATATAAGTCCGATCTCGTGTTTCATCGCATGATTCGAAATGGCACCTAAAGCAGAAGCTCTGGATAATCTATTTAGGAAACGTATCATTTGCTGAAAACGGAAAGAAATAACAAAAGAAACAAAAAACAAAAAGACGCCACGAAATATTTTAGTGTTTTCTTAGAACAATATCATAAAAATCAGAATAGCTTTATCGCGTGAACACGAAGAACAGAAGTTTATTCGTATATATATAGTTCAGACGTTACACTTTGATGTTTCATCTATAACGCCAGCGGAACAAATATATATCCAAATATTATAAATAAAGTTTTAGCAGTTTGCTGTTGAGGCCTCCAGCCAGCTCTTTTTATACTGGTAACTAATTTATAACCAAATAGATTAGGTATATGACAAGACTGCCGATTCTGTGTTTTAGCTGGAGGTTAAGCGTAGCTCATATGTTTCGCAACAATTGTTTTAATTCCTGTGGCGAGCAATGCTAAAGTACCGCGGAAATGTACATGATCACGTTCGGTGGTCTCGGTATAATTAGTAAAGCTTCGATTAATTAACGAAAAGTAAACTCCTACCGAATTGCTAGGTAAGATAATTAAAATCTATGCAAAGAAAATGAACGAAAAACACAAATTAAACGCTTTAAGATAAAGCACACTTCAAAAAGCGGTACAAATATTACATGATACGCCAAGATCGTGGCATATATCGTACGCCTCTCCCTTTTCAAAACGCCGCTTTTAGTACAGCAACAAATACGAGCAAGCTTTCCTATAGTACTGCTGCATTTCTGGAAAAATGCGGCCGGGAAAGTTACAACTTTCTCGGGCGTCAAATCAGCGTCCGGGAACTTCCAAAAAAAAAAAAAAAGCAAACACAAAGAGCAGTCGTACTTGCAGTGATGTGGAACTGAGGATCCATTCGTGGAAAGGCCAACGGTATGTCTAGGAGAAGCGAAAAGGGCCATCTCTGCGGTGGTCTGGAGGCGTTGCGCAGAATCCAGCACGTGCGAAGCCACTTGATGACCAGCCTCAAGCAAGCTACGGCGAGCAACGTCGACGCAGACGTGAAATAAAAAAATAAAAAAAAACTTTGGTGCCGGTCATGCCTTAGCCGTCCAGCATCCTGCCACTAAAACTTGACGCCGACATGATTCCCGTTCAAAACTTGCAACAACAATACGGCATCGAGCGTGCCGCTACTCAGGTACAAACACTTTTGCACTACTGGGAGCGATCGACGTGGGCTGTCAAAGGTTGCAGTCGTATCTGCCCATTCGATTTGGTTACCCGGAGAGCTTTACGTTCGTAATAAGCCAATCCAAGGAAAGGAAACTTGATCTAACTAAGAGAGGAGACTGTAGCCAGTCTAAGAGGAGAGGAGTCCTCTCCTCTTTTTTCTTTCGGTTACTTCGCTTATTTTTGTTTGTGTTAGGCAAAGTGGTGGCCGTGGTTAGTTGGAATAGTACCCTCCTCCTTTCCTGCGTCGTTTGCGCAATACCGCTGGAAATTCAAGCGGTTATGCCTAACGACGCGCCTAAAAGGAAGAAGGTAATATTTCTCCCAACGCACGCGCCGTCCCCCTCCCCGTAGTTTTATGGTCATCACCTTGCGCGCACTTTTGAATAACAGGCGAGGTTTAAGAGGAGAGCAGTGTTATCAGAAGGACTGATGACAGGGCGCGCACTGTTGTGAAGTTTACCCTGGCTCCCCATACCTTCGGTGTAAACGTTCGTACAGTCATTTACGGGTAAAGGGACGCAGAGAGTGGCCTTATACGTTCCCATTTCTTGCTTTGTGACTGATTCTTGGGCCTTCTTGTTGGCTAACGCCCGAATATCATTGGCTGCAAAGTGATAACGAGGCGTTTCTGGCTCACCACACCCTGCCTGTCTTAAGCTCTCGGAGACTATTTCCCGATGCCTTTGTCTACATCATGTGCACTAACGCTTGGAAACCACTTTAAACCGTCCGCAAAAAAAAGATGTTTCTCAACGCACCGGGCTCTAAGTTACTAGAGAGGTGCGGCTCAGTGCTGCAAGTTTAGGGTAAACATATCAACGGCTGAAATTACCTGGTTACAATAAAAGAACCTGTTTCGGGCAACCCATGGCGTCATTCGCCGATGATGGCTTAACCTTGCTCGCTGAGCTTTAAATGCTTCGAACGGATTGTGTATCGTGAAGAGCGAGAGGATGAGACGCTTCGTTCGATCACCTCCGTACAAAAAATGGGGAGTACCTCTTTTCGCATTTTATTCACTAAAACGAGTGTCCCACCTTGAAAATTGGATTTTACAGTTATATGTGCCTCGCGCTGAGGAAGAGTAGTATCAACTTTCGGAAAATCGTCTGCTAAGCTCGGCGCCGGAGCGTCCTCGGCGCTTTGGACATATGCCGACAGCTTTGCGCAGACGACGTCGGCGCATGCCGTCATAGACTACCCGAGACAGGTTCTTCTTCTTGCTTCACTTTTGAATGAAGTAAATTCATCCGTTGATATTTTTTTCTTGCTAGTTCGCGCCACTTAGCCGCACCTATTTTGTAAACCGCAGCGCGATACGTTTGAAAGACGATTTTTCCAAACCGTCTGAGATAGGTTTGAGGCGTAATTGTACACGTTGTAGTTATCCGAAAGCAAAGTGTAACGGAGTGAAATACATTTTTGAGTTATGAGACACTAAGATTATTAGAAAATAGGAATCTTACATTACGCAATATATGCAACCTACTCGTTGTGAGACTTAGCTGCGTCACTTTTGATCTTAGAGGCCCGATCATTAGGCAAATGCCTATTTTGTTCCTTTGGTCCCTATCGTGCCTTTTCTATATATGAGCACGAGTCATGAGTCAAGGAGCGTTTTAAGGGCGGTAATATAGCGCCTATAAATGCCTATTTTGGAGTTAGGGCCTAAATTACCGTTTCGCGCCTATAAATGCCTATTTCTGACTTTTCGTTTTTTTTTTTTTTGTTTCGCTATTTCAAAACATTTTGTTGTACTTAGTTTCACTTTCAAGCGAACCATTTTTCATCTTAATGCCATGCAGGAGATGAAAAATGTAAGCCAAGGCGCAAACGGCGCCTTCTTTCTACTAGACGGCCCTTCCCGCCCTTCCCAGGCATCGTCCTTTTTTCATATTTCTTGACACGGCTTTGCTTTTTCCCCTTCTCGCCTCGCACAACAGAAGCGGGTTTGTTGTCTTTACATGACTGGACAGCGTGGAGCCCGGGAGCTGCCCGGAGGCTGGAAGTCTGGATCTGAATTCTGCTGTACTTCGTTTCACGCTAAATGGACATTAGTGGATGCGTCTCAGCCAGTCCAGCGCTGGGAGAGTGGCATGCGACCTGGAGTCTCCCCGCGTCGCTCCGCCCAACTGAAAGCTCCACTGACGTCCTTGTAGTATTGGATTGGTTAGGTTAGGTTAGGTTGATGATGATGAGGATGATGATGATGATGATGGCTCGTCCTATTCGCTGCGGTCATTGGAAGATTGGGAAACAGAACGTAATGCTTACCGAAAACCTTTTTTTTTTTCTAGTGAGCGAGCGCGTGGCTCTGTTTTCATGTGCATGTGCGTGCGTGCCAGCCTACACGTCAGGTGAAGGAGATCGGAAGACATGGTTTGCTCCTTTCGCCCTAGCAGGTCTCTAACGTTTTTGCCAAGTATTTGTTTTTTGTGTGCGGGGGTCTGTGGTTTGCTGCTCTTCGCTTTCGCTGCCCTGAGACCCAACATTCCATTTTTTACACGACCGACGGGTATATCGTCTTCTGTCAACCGCGTGGAAAGCAGGTAAGAAGACACCCTTAGGTACCGTGTTTAGTCGAAAAACCAAACCCTGATTGACCGGCGATTTACTGAATGAAAACGAGACCACGACGTTTCATCGAATGACAGCTTCGCTTTTCCTGATCGACGGCGAGGGGTAAGCGCGCCATTCTAAAAGCCTTAAAAACCGAGCCAGTTTAAAAGTCATATTGTTATGTTTAAAGGAGCATGTTAATTTTCTCATTTAAATAAATCATAACAAGTGAACATGATAGAACCTACCGTACAAGGTAAGCACAGTTAGCACATGTGACCTGCAAGAAGTAATATGCTATATGTATACAAACGCTGTACTTTTGTGAAACAATAATATATTTCAGACTGTATTATCTAAGTAGGTTCGAGCTTACTAACACGTAGTATAATAAAAAAAAAACTTTAAATATATACACTTTAGATTGGGTTGACTGCAGAAGCAGAATTTATATCCTTGCTTAGCACACAACTAAAGAACCAAGTGCAATAAAACTATCTAAAAGGTTTAACTCAGAATCGAGAGTGTATCGTAGTATACAACAAACGTACTTTAAGCGTACATTCTCGTTTTAAAAAAAGTATAATAAATAGAATGCTTTTAATATATTGTCCTTCTCGCAACGCGAGCCGTGCTGGTTCGAATTGCGGAGGAAGGTAAATGCCTGACTAACCCGACGCCCTTCGAAATGACGCTATAGGAAGAAAACAAGAAACGTGTTGTCCATTATGCGGGGATTTCCCGGCTGGGGTATACCGAGGATTTATACAAATGGCCAGCCGACTCCGGGGATTGCTCTGAAACTTGTTTATTTTCTCTGGATCTTCAAACCCCCCTGATACAGAAGTTGATTTTTGTTGACCACAAAATGAAGAAACTATTTTCTAATGTTTCTTTTCAAGTAAAAAATATGTATTACAGTTGACTAGCGGAGGCAATTCGTCGTCATGCTGGTCGTTCTCTTGGTGTGAACTTGAGCTCTAGCCCCTCGGGTGCAGTGAGGACGATTTCGAAGGCGAGCTGAAGTTTCTCCATCGGCATTTTAGACTCGACCTTACACCTTCTCATGACCTGGGTGAGAAGAATAATTTCTTCGAACTGTGCAAACTTTTGACCTCAAAGAGGACAAAACATTTTATCAAATCTAAAAAATTATGACCACGTTTTTTTTTGTTTTTTTTTTTACACTGACCTGCTTGCAATATTTTATTTAAAATGGTTGCTTAAGAGTGGCGCTATATGAAAAAGACTATTGAATGCAAACACTGTTCGAATAGCTTATCAATCAATAAATCCACCCAACACTTTCAACAGTGATTTAAAATTAGAGTAAATTTTGTGATCCTTTTATAACTGTATTATACTTGTCACATATATTGGGGTTTCAGTGGCCCAACAATAAATAACTGGCATATATTGCTGATTCAGTGAGTTGTTTAATCACTGCACTAAAGTCATAATAACATAAATTGCTTGCGTATTCGATCAAGAAGAAAACACTCTCACATTGTTTGTTCATTAGATGTCTACAGTGACGTCGTTTATTTATTAATACAATCTATCATATTCAGTGATTCGCGGTGAAGAAATAAAGGTATGACTAAACGTGTCCTTTTAAATTTTATCTAACTTTTTGGCGGCTGCAAATGTTCTATAAAGACGTATTCCTCAAGTATTTTTTATTAGTTTTATTGATTGAGTATCGTTTCTAAACTTTCTGAGCAAGTTGATTTTCTACAACCTTGTTGCTGGTAATGTTTCTTAACTAAGAGTCTTACGTATGCAATTCCTAGGTCCAGCAGAGAGAGGCAGAAACTGGAAGGTATGTGAGTATTTTGTTTCTAAGAAGCGCTCTGGCATGAAGATGTCAAGGTTTTCAAAGTGTTTTGGATGCCGATGCATGTAAAAGATAAAAGCCAGGGCCACAGTACCTTTTGGAATTGTTTGCTCACCTGGAAGTAAAGTTAAATCAACATGAACATTAACCAGGGTAAAATAAAAAGTAAAAAATCTTTTTCATATATATGCAGTTTATTACTTTCGTTTTCTAAGATCCTAAATAATTTGAACTAAACTTGTTTAAATCGTTTACTTAAGAAAATAAACAAACAATTTGAATATTACCAATCTTGCTATCTTCATCGATCATTCTCGCCAAGAGTGGTACAGCCGGATATACGCGCATTGACTCCTGTAATAAAATGTTCGCTTAGTTGAAATAAGCATAAAACGATTATCCCAAGAAAGTGCAATGTTCGGCGAATAACGTAATTTAGATTCGCGCCTGTCACTACATTTTTGTGTTTTATTTATTAGTCTTACTCGGCGTATTTTAAAAGGCTTATTGCTAAAAGTTCTCTAAAGGCTATCGAAAGGATTATAGACTAACCAAAATTGTTGGTGTGTGATTAATATTTACAATTATAGGTCAACATTTTAAAAATAAAGACTTTTAATGCCTGTGGCGACAACTAAACTTTGCGTATTTTCAGCGTTTGTCACTCTTTCCGACAGTTCTTTGGTTTCATGTTCGTCCTTTTTTATACATCGACAACGTGTGAACGCTTTCACTGCTCTTAATAGGGCCACCAGACCGTGAGACTGTGCACCGGTACGTCGCGGCTCGATAGCACGGCTGCTCGTTGGTTAAACCCGGGAGAGCACACGTGACAAGGGAAGGGGCACGGCGGACTTTTATGAGTATCCGAGAGCTGTTCCGCTTTGTTCAGTGAACATTGGTCACACGTCATCCCCAAGACCCGCCCCAATATATGTAGCTGACGTTGGTCACGTGACTCTTTCAGCAGGATGATGATGTACATATCTACCACGTGATTATGTTGCGCTGTGTCAATGACATCTCTGAGGCCACCACAAGGCACTATAACATCCCACGACACCAACCACGTGACTATGACACGTGACGACATGGTCAGGTTTCGAAATCAGCTCCGCAGCATCGCATCCGGTCTGTCCTAAGACGTCGTTAGAGGCTTAAAAACCGCTCTGGTCTCACTCGGTCTTACTCGGCTGCATATGTGTGAACGGCGCTTGATGGTGTTGTTATACATGCCGAATATGCCTTATTTGTACGCAAAATTTATCGTAATTTTCCTTAAATATTTTTGCGTTTTGCTTGGTTGACTCTGCTGCGTAAAGCTGATATGTATAGCGATGTTAAGTTCCTTTTTCTAAGTACACCTGAACGTGTTGACATTTTGAATGTTGCAATATGCAGTGATGATCCTGTTGATTTTTCTCTCAGTGTATTGTCAGTGATGATTGTTTACTGATGGCACTTTACGCGCAAGAGCTTGCTTCGTTTTAAGCTTAGTATTATGAGTGAACCACTGAACGGATACGGCTTAAATCTAGTTCTTCGGAACATCTAGCATTACGTTTCGTAAGACGTTTTACTTCCCTGGTGAGGGCACTGAGAACGAGAGCTTTCTCAAAACAAAATACGACGGGGCAACATAGCTGCCATTCAAATATGACTTTGCTTGAGCCTCGGGCAACGTCTCCATGTTTAGCCTTCCCGGACGCTGAGTGAATGCGTCATAGGTTTCTGCTGGAGCTTTGTCGAAAAATGTTCCACTTTTCACCCGCACACAGATGATGTTATATCTCGCGGCCTCTGTGTTTGTCCTTGGCCTTCCATCACATACTGGCTGGTTTCAGCGTCTGTACGGCAACAAAACGACTCATTTTGCAAATAAAACACGGGTCGTCGATTCCTTCCGTCGTGAAATATCAGAAGCTTACAATTCAAGCTCGCGCTTGAGTTTGTGGCCCGCGGGACGCGGTTTTGAGCAGAAAACCAACTTTTTCTTTCAGTTCTGCTGTGCGAATGCCGCATCGTAGCAGACGAACTCTCGTCGTCTGCTCTCGCTCCTTGCCTGGGCGAGGCATGACGGGATTGTCGGCGCTAGAGAGCTCAAAGACAACGTACAGCGAGCGGTGTGAACGCTCACCTCCCCGCGCTGTCTCGTGCTCTCGTTCACCGCCTAGGAATCGCAGGGGATTTTTCGTCAAAAGTTGCGAAGTTGAGCGCGCGCAGGGAGGAGGAAACTTTGCGGCGTTCTTTTGGTCACTCCCCCCGCTACGTCAGAAAGCGAGGAATGTTTTGCTCCACGAGTTTAGCTACCCAGGGTTAAAAAAATACGACGAACAGTCTCAGTTTTCCTGGTGAAGGCAGAACTTTTACTTGATTGTTAACCTCGCACCATGCATGCCCTGCCGTGCTTGCGTTTCAGATGAGTTGTTGATTATATTGCAGTACTGTGCCAGGTTTTTTCACTTTCAATTTCCGAAATATAATTTGGTATTACTGTTGGTAGCCTACCGAAATTAAAAGCATTCCAACGAACAGTGCATTATACTCTATTTTTCCAAAGACAATAAATTAAAGATGCACAACTGGTGTTTTGATGGTTAGGACCGATGAATTTCGGACTCGTGTCGCTTCAGCCTCCTGTCTTAGTCATGGTTTTTAACCCCCCCCCCCCCCCTTCCTCTTAATGACGAGCGTTGAAATTTATAGCGTTTGTTTTAGAAGCGAAAGTTTTTCAGGACTACCTTACTTTTGGGTTGTGATGAAGGGAAATCTTGTGGTGAGTGGGGCTGAGGGCATTCTTGGAAGGCAGGCAGCAGTGATCTGCTTTAATTGCAGCATCCGAATTATATTGATGTAAGCGCGCGAGAAATATATACTCAAGCGTATCTGCAATAAATGGTAGAAATGTATCGTAGGGCTTTGTCTTTAGGTAGTTGGAATCGTCGGAAGTCTTTTATGGTCTCGTGCTGCATCTCAGAAAATCAATAACTGCTTATAAAACGTTACCCGTGCGGATCTCGATGGTCTCCAGACCAGATACGTATAAGTCCCAGAATAGCACTTACGCAAATGTAAATACGCAGTTTTTTTTTACTTCATTTTATTTTGTTGAGCCACTTAGCGTTGCCGCAGTAGGTATTTTTTGATGCACTTTCACTTTGTTTTTTGTAACGTCAAATCCACCTGTTCGCTCTTTTCTTTTAGTTTTTGTGTCAATACTAACGTGGTTGTATTGAATGTTTTGTGCCATTATGCAATTGAGAAACTGCAGCTGAGACAGCACTGTAGATAGTCGCGGAAGCGAGATTTATGTATTGTTCGAAAAATTATCTTCTACTTTTATATGTCTTTGATCAGATATCCCAAATATAAACCGCATTTTCATCTTGACGTGGCCTACGCATAATTAGGTCGCAGCATGACCCTACTTAAGGGGCCCAAGGTTCTTACAGGGGCCATGTTTTACAAGCGCATATAAATGGCTGGCGCGGAACGCGTCACAATTCGCGTGACCAATCCACGTTAACTTGCACGGTCGAATTCGGCGTTTCCACGCGCTATTCTTATACGTAAAGACACATTTTTTTCATATCGAATGCATTTCTTCATTTTGTTTCATTACTTTACATCCAGCCACTTCTCGTGACCAGATCAATTTGTCCTACTCTCCACCATTTCACTTGACTTCATTTTGGTTCACTTCGCTGCACATCAGACGTCAGCAACGGAATCAAAGCTTTCATTATTGAAATATGCGTCATTACTTCTTTCTTTTTAAACTACCACCAAATGTTTACGGTTCTTCCTTCTACACTTAGCCACACATTCTGACCTTCTCCGGTGCAGAAATATTTTAGTTTCCTAGCTTAAACTTTAAAAACACTCATATGCATTGACGTCTCTTCCTGAAATCATTTCATGCATCAAATAAGCTCGAAAATTGCAGAAGCTACAACCTCGCTCAATCATCTGGTGCCACGGCCCGTGTGATCAGTCGTGGGGTAAGTCACGCAATATGGTTCCGATGAAAGACATTGGATCCAGAAGAAAAAAATAACTGGCGCGAAAGAGATCCATTCCATCACATCTGGCTGCACCGTCGTCTTTTATAAATATTGTCTGAAAGTGATTACCTGCGCACAATAATGGAATCAAACATGTTGTAACGAATCTTCACAGTGTTTAGGAAGGACCGTGATCGTTAGTTTTAGCACCAATAAAATGCTATTTGAGAAGCACTTGTCACAAATTATATAATGTAAATTAGGCACAAGTTCAAGTACTAGTCACTAGCAAACGTCTTGAAACAAAATATATTTTTATTAGAGTATGCCACAATTGACCAGCATAGGGTATTTATTTTGCTTGTCTCTCACAAACGCATTGTACCAAACTGCAGTTCAGTATATAAGACAACAAAAAAATTAAGATCATCCACTCCATTTGGTACGCTTTTATAATATTGGACTGAAGATTGCTCTGGTAGTAATGAAATTGTGATAGAGAAGTTGACTTAATAAATTTAAATCTCCGAGGATTTTTCTTCGTGGTAATGCTAGATTTTCAAATTAAATGCGAATTGACTTTGGCGTTGCGTTTACGGAATATAATTTCATTAACTCGGACCTTTGCTTCCACAACGAGGTTACACACGTGCATGCAGGTTGAAATCTTAACATTTGTTTGCTTTATATAATGTTTTTAATAATTATGTTCTTTTAACAAATTCGTCGAACGATTGTTTTGCTTTTTATTTAGGCTATTTTTGTAGAATAAAGCAATGCTCATAAATGCGCTCATTTGTGGGGAAGCACAGATCATGATGCTAGAATCCTATCCACGAGAAGAGACTTGAGTTCTGAACTTTGATCTAACAACAAGCAAGCTCAAGTACATTGATCCTTAATGCGCTCCAATTAAAAAAAAACAAAAAAAAACAAAGATATGTCCACATTTTTTTTGTGCTCCTCAGTAGGTTTTTGGGGTTCATATATGGGTTATTCAATGTGAATCAATTTCGTTTCTAAGCGAGCTCAGTAGGATCCTGCTATTGGTACACCCTTTTTAATGTAGCCCTTTAAAATGTCTTGTAGTTTTCGAATATTCATGTTTACGTAATAAATCAGTTTTCAATCCTCAAAAACTAATTTGACCCCGAAAGACAATAAAATTTAATTCCAACACAATATTAAACACATAGTGATTCGCAAATTCCATTTAAAATATTTTCTGAGTGCCCTTCTTTTGAACCCAAGCAAATACTTTGTTTGCAATGCGTCATAATTGTTAAGGTATCAATGTATAATTTGTACTCAGAAAGCATTTATGTTAAATTCATAACGCACGTAAATTACACAAAACGATATATTGGGACTGAGGAAATGTGGGGTAACTGTTGTATTTGTTTTTTCTGCACAATGTCTTTTTTTTCGCGTAAACATGGAAGTAATGCGACGCGTATTCAGGACAAATTTCAGGCACGAACGGCGGGAACGTGTTCCGCAAAGCTATACAGAATTTCACTGCCTTGTACGTGCTATTAGGAAGTGGGAAAAAGGATCCAAGTGTCCTTGGTTTTAAGACTGATGAACGCTTGCATCGGACTTGGTTTACGTTTTCGAATATTTTCTAGAGCTTTTCTTTGGACCATTTTGTTGGTGTTAGATTTATCAAAGAGTTTCAAAGAATTACCTTGTTTAAACGAAGTCCCGATAATTGTGTTTTTCGTCCTCACATTGAGTGTGACACCTTTGTACCTCTTCCAAGAGAACTGATCATGTATTATCCGCCGCATCATCCATGAAAGTAACCCTAAAGGAGAGAACACACCATCACGCTATTTTTGTGAAATATATATCTATATACTTTATTGTTACGACTCTAAGGAAGCATCAGTAACAAATCATAAATAGACACATTAGAAGCTAAGGGACATTTACTCTGATGCCTGCAATTACGGCTGCAAGCACGCTTCGAAACCGTAACTGCATTCTCAAATGATGTTTTCTTCGACAAAGCAACAAAATATAATTAAGTGATTTTCCTACAGGCATGCAATAGTTCCTGAAAATGTGAAAGGTTTGTGACGCACAT